CGATCAAAACTTAGTGAAGTAAAAATCCTCCATCACCAAGCTTTGTTCGGCTGGATCCTCCGCTATTTTATAAGGGACTGGTTAGAGTTGTCCTAAGTTTAGTTAAAGCGACTTCCCGCGTACTCGAGTACATACGATTCTCGAACAAGCATTACGCGGTCGACTAGGCACGAAAAGATGAAAGAGGTCCAATATAAGCACCAACAGAATGTACTCGAATCTACCAAAGCATGCATGCAGTTAACCAGCTGGCCTAAATGTTAAACGTTCTTAGCACTCAATCAAGTGCCTAACCTAATACTGCTAGATACTTGATGCGTACGTTACGGAGCTAATTAGGCTGTCGTGGTAGCAACAGCAACAGCACGCACGGGCGCGTTAACTTGTTCGAGAGAAAACTCGATCGTCCGACGTACATTTCGTCGTGTTTCGTTGACGACGATTTCAATTCCTTTGAGGAACCCTGCCGGATTCTGCCAACTGCCAACCTCGCTTTCTATGCAATAGTCAAACACTTTCTCGGCTAGTGGCCGAGTAGGAGTAGCTGACGGGGCGAAGAAGCAGGCAGGAAACCAGCCCAGCTGGGGTTCCGTTCCACCTACAGTCAACACGTCTATATGTGTAGCTGCGAGAGGAGTTCCGAAGCCACTAACTCGATCCCCATCCACCTTTCTTCTGGCATGGAATGCCAAGTCAAGTCCTAGTCTCTCAGCAACGCAGGTCATTTTGGGGTTTAAAAAAAAGCCTCAGACACATTACTTAATTTAACAGTTAGTGTTTTCACTAAACCAATCAATCCAAATGGTTTTTGTGGGTTCGTAGTCAAGGTTGGAGAAATCTAATTAAGTGACACGTACTTTCTAGTTGGCGTACGTACTGCTAGATAATGGATACTGAATGCACGGGAGAAACTACATGCGTGTACTCGCAAAAAAAAAAAAAAACTACGTACATGTGTGACTTAGGGCATCTTCAAAGCTAACCTCTAAACAGGACACCACATCCGTCTGTAGACCAAGGGAACCAGTTCGCGCACACTAATGCAGGAGCCAGCCATCCAAACGTAACCTCATATATTTCAAAAGGATGTCAACAAACCTGATGAAATTCATGCAAAAATGACGGAATTTGGCAAAGTTCGGACATAAATTATAGAAAATAGCCCGCAACACTCAAAGTAATTATAGAAATAGCACAATTCATCCATGCAAATATCACTAGTACGACAATATTTCAAATTCAACAAGATAACCGGATGTTCAACAAGTTTTTGTAAATCATTCACTCAAAATTCAACAATCCTAGAGCCTGAACCGGCACATGTGGTCCCATAGAAACTGCCCTTTGAGTTTCATCCAGCAATATATGCGCGTGAATGGTCTGCCCTCGGTCATGTAGTATGTCATGGAAGCAAACTATACAACGTGTACATCAACATTGAATGAATAAATGAATTAACCAGCATGTAGAGTAATACTTCCTCTGTCTCAAAATAAGTGTTGCTGATTTTATACTAAGTTAGTACAAATTTTATACTACATCAGTGACACTTATTTTAAGACGAAGGGAGTAGAAAGCAACACTTACGATTGGCTGATGCGCCCATGGCCACCTTGTCTCCGCTTGGTGAGTCGCACCGCAATACTTCATGACGAAGTTGCTGATGGTGTACCATCGATGCGTTAGCGACTTCACATTGCGTGCATGGACGGCGTGAATATTGTAGGTCGTCAGGTTCTTTCGCTCATGGAACGAAGCATGCAAGCTTTGCCAAAAGATCGGGCCCTTGTTCATGCATACAAAGTCCTCAGAAACGTCCAACCACACCTCGCACAACAACTCATCCTCGTACATTGAGTACCCCTCCATCGTGCTTCTCTAGAAAACAATAAGAAGTTTTAAAAAAAAGCTCAATGACATTTGATCGAACACCTGCCAGGCGCGGTGTCTACCATGGACGGCGCCGACAGGGATGCAAAGGGTATCTAGCCGCAGAGGGATTCCTGGGTGGACATTGGTGTAGCCCAAGGCCGACAGTCTCGTGGGTGGGGTGTGCAGACGTCTGGGGATGCCTGGACAGCGACCAGAGAGGTACAACGGCGGAGACATACTACAAGGGTGCGGATGAAAGAAGGGGGGAGCAATGGTGGACTTGGAAGAAGGGACCGGGAGGAGGATTTCAGTGGGCCTGGGGGCAGAGTCCTACGTGGTTGGTGTCTTGACTCTCGCAAAGC